CAGCTGCCACCCGAGGTTAGTCCGTTTCGTCCAAAGTACCCCTAAGGACTAGGACCTCCTGCCGTTCCCACACATGAACTACCCTCCTCTACATGAGGACGAGTACTCACGGAACATCAGGATGAACCGCCAGCTAAGCATTTCCACATTCATACTTTACCAATTCCAATATTCATCCAAGAGTCGTTCCTCCCCGGAACGCTCGTTCAAAATTCACAACCTTTAATTTATCCCATATACTCTTCACCTTTTATAATCCTTCACTTTAGTGTCATTTTTATCATCATTTCCAAAAACATCAAATACCGAACGTTATGCCCTCTTCAGAACAAGGATGAACAACAGGGACGAGACAAGGAACTCCCTCGTCCTAGAACAGAATACTACCGAAAGGGGTTTACTGTAACTTTTAGAAATGAATGAGGTACAACTATACAATATATGACGAACGTCTTTTGCAACATGAATCAGTTAAATGAACTGACTCTCGTGAATTTCAACCAAAACTCAAAGAATACATAGATACGGGAACTCTAGATCCGAGACCATAAAGGTAGACACATTAGGACGTCAAAGAAATATACTTAGAATAGTTCACATACAGAAATCTCATGTCAGTAAATGACCGAACAAGGCAAAGGAAAGTTCTTCTGAAATTGGACGAACGCTATTTCATCAAGGTAGATCAACTATAAAAAGTACTAGCGCTTGGTGTAAGACCGAGCACCACTAAAAATTAAAATAAAAGATTAATAAATGAGATATTATCTGAATGGTGTTTTAAGAATAATTACATATACAATTACATATATATATATATATATATATATAGATATAGAATTTAGGTTTACTACTGAACACTCAGATGCAACTACGCTTGAGCAATCGTTCAAGCACAGCATTACAATAAGAAGGAGCTCGTCCTCAACTAGAATTCTTTCCAAATGAAAGAATCCCATTTCAACTATGTTCAACAGGAAAACCGAACGGTCAATGACCGTTCCGTAGCGAACATACATTATCATAGGAAATTTCATATTTTAAATCTCCTTTATCTTCACTCATTGTTCCATACATCATTTCATAACTTTATGAATTCATATCAATATCAATTCGCATACTTTGCACAACTCATATTATACTAATAAGTCATATTCCACATAAACAATCATCTCAACATTCATACTTCATATACGTTTAATCACTTAGCAACAGGCATTCATTATCAACTAACGTACAACAACATACAATTAAATTAGATAAGCTTCCCTTACCTCTAGTGTGAACGTACGTCCTTCAGAATAAAACTCACTTCGCGAAATTAAGATTTCTTCTACTCTCAACGCTAAACCAAACTCTTCAAACTAAAACAAGTTACAGAAAACCAAGATTGATTCAGACAAGGTGATCGCATGCAACCAGAGCTTGGTTTGCATGTTCATACGAACGAACAACTAGGGACGAGAAACTTACCAGTTTCAGAGTCCGGAACTGTTCAGTTCAGAATGAAGCTTACGACGCCGGGAACGCTTCTACGGTCTCTGAATGATGATCGGAGAAGAGAAAGATGAGTTACAGTAGAGAGAAGGGAGAGTTTTCTAGAGAGAAGAAGGAGAAAATGAAAGATCAGATTTTTGGAAGAAGAAGGGTGCATGCAGAGAGAGTGGGAAGAAGGTTTTCAGAAAAATCATTTTTCTTCCCACGTACAACGAGTGTCCGCTCTTCTGCTGACACCTGCATCCCACTATCTGATTTCAGATCCTCGTTTCTTGACACCTGGCGTCCCCGCAGAGGGTTTTGGGTGCGTTTTAAATGAGCTGACAGGAGGGGTTTTGGGTGCATATTTACGAGGTCTGACATTCCCCCTAACTACAAAAATTTTCGTCCTCGAAAATTAAAACTTACCCGGAAATAAGTGAGGATACAAGTCCCTCATGGCATCCTCCACTTCCCATGTAGAGTCGCTCGTCTTTTCGTCCCACACCACTTTCACCAATCTGATCGCTTTCCTTTTGTAGTACTTGGTGCGACTGTCTTCAACGCGAACTGGCTGCATTTCCAGCGTTCGGTCTTGACGAAGACGAACGTCTTCCAACTCCAATATGTGAGAGGGGTCAGCTATGTACTTCCGGAGTTGGGAAACGTGGAAGACTGGATGAAGGTTGGACAGTTGGGGTGGCAAGGCCAGCTCGTACGCCACTGGTCCGATTTTCCTCAAGACTTGATAGGGTCCGACGAACTTGGGGGATAGCTTCTTTGGACGAACGACTCTGCCTACTCCAGTGGTCGGATTCAGCCTAAGGAAAACGTGATCTCCAGCATTGAACTCCAACGGCCTCCTTCTTTTATCCGCGTAGGACTTCTGCCTGCTCCGTGACGTCTTTAACCTCTCTTGGATCAACTTCACCTTCTCAGTCGTTTGCTGGATAAGTTCAGGTCCGGTCAACACCTTCTTTCCTTCTTGAAACCAGCGAAGCGGCGTTCGGCACTTCCTCCCATAGAGAGCCTCAAACGGAGCCATTCCGATGCTAGACTGGAAGCTGTTGTTGTAGGTAAATTCTACTAGCGGCAAAACTTCATCCCAAACGTCCATGTGATCTAGGACGTACGTCCTTAGTAAGTCCTCGAGCGTTTGGATGGTTCTCTCAGATTGACCGTCCGTTTGGGGGTGATACGCCGAACTCATTTGAAGTTTGCTGCCCAGCTTGCTTTGTAAAGATTGCCAAAACCGAGATGTGAATCTCGTGTCTCGGTCAGAGATGATGCTCGAGGGCACTCCATGCAACCGAACGATCTCTTTGATGTAGAGTTGAGCAAGCTTCGTCATTGACATCTTCAAGTTGACCGCTAGGAAGTGGGCGCTCTTAGTTAATCGATCTACTATAACCCAGATGGAGTCGTGATTCTTGACCGTGCGGGGTAAGTGGGTCACGAAGTCCATCGAGATGCTATCCCACTTCGATTCAGGAATTTCTAACTGCTGTAATAGACCGCCCGGCCTCTGATGTTCCGCCTTTGCACGCTGACAAGTTAGGCACGATGCCACAAAACGAGTGACATCGTTCTTCATTCCTGGCCACCAGAAAGATTTCCTGAGGTCTTGATACATCTTAGTCATGCCAGGGTGCATGCTAAGACGACTTTGGTGTCCCTCCTCAAGAATGATCCGCTTTAGCTCGCCATCGTTAGGAACGCACGTCCTACCCATGTAGCGCAAAAGGCCGTTCGTTCCTGTGTTGAAATGCTTGGCTTGATCCGTACCGAGCGCGCCCAAAATCTTCACCAAATCTTCATCGGCCGACTGCTTCACTCTGATTCGGTCAAATACGTTACTGGATATTCTAAGGTTACAACATCTAATACGGTTTGGTTCCAAATCGAACTGTAACCTTAGATCTCTAAAGCTCTCCACCAAACTTAATTCTCGAACCATCATGGACGAGACATGAACCACCTTTCTGCTCAACGCGTCTGCTACGACATTAGCCTTCCCCGGATGATAGAGCAGTTCAAAATCATAATCTTTTAAGAACTCCAGCCAACGCCTCTGTCTCATGTTTAATTATTTTTTATCAAAGAGATACTTGAGACTCTTGTGATCACTGAAGACTTGGAATGTAGATCCATACAAGTAGTGTCTCCAAATCTTCAGGGCAAAGACGACCGCTGCTAATTCCAGGTCGTGCGTTGGGTAGTTCTTCTCGTGAATTTTCAGTTGACGAGAAGCGTACGCGACAGCCCTCTTCTCTTGCATCAGCACACAACCCAAACCTTGATGAGAAGCATCGCAGTATACCTCGAACGGTTTGGCCATGTCTGGAATAACCAACACTGGAGCGCTCGTCAACTTCCTCTTCAATTCTTGTAAACTTTCTTCACACTGATCGGTCCAGGCGAACGGGTGATCCTTTCGGGTCAGTTGTGTTAACGGCGCTACTATCTTAGAAAATCCTTCAATGAAACGTCTGTAGTAGCCCGCCAACCCTACAAAACTTCGGACTTCAGTGACCGAACGTGGACTTTCCCACTCCAATACCGCTCGTACTTTTGTCGGATCTACAGAGATTCCTCCAGCGGAGACGACGTGCCCCAAGAATTGTACCTCCTTCATCCAAAATTCGCACTTGGACAACTTAGCGTATAGTTCCTTTTCTCTCAAGACGCCAAGCACCATCCTCAAATGTTCTTCATGTTCTTCACAGCTTAGAGTAAATGAGGATGTCGTCAATGAAGACGACCACGAATTTGTCCAAATACGGCCTGAAGATACGATTCATGTAGTCCATGAATATTGTCGGGGCGTTCGTCACACCGAACGACATCACTACATATTCGTAGTGTCCGTAACGAGACCGAAATGCTGTCTTCTGGATATCTTCTTCCTTCACCCGAATTTGGTGATATCCCGATCGTAAATCAATCTTGGAAAATACGATCGCACCGTTTAGCTGATCCAGTAGATCGTCAATTCGGGGTAACAGATACTTGTTCTTGATGGTCAGCTTGTTTAGCTTTCGGTAGTCAATACAAAGTCGTGAGCTGCCATCTTTCTTCTTCACCAATAGAACAGGCGCTCCCCAGGGTGATGCGCTCGGTCTGATGAATTTCTTGTCCATCAAATCTTCAATCTGCTTCTTGAGTTCAGCCAACTCCGCAGGTGCCATTCTATACGGTGCAACAGAAATGGGCCCTGCTGTCGTTACTAAATCAATTGTGAACTCGACTTCACGAGGAGGTGGTAGTCCAGGTATTTCATCCGGAAAGACGTCCGGGAAATCGTCTACGACCGATCGTCCTCTATTCAGCTTACTACTGGACGATCGTTCATAACTTGAACCTTCAAACTCTTCATCCGCGTGCGTCATGATTAGAAAGCAACTGGCGCCCTCCATGATGTCCTCCTTTAGTTGACCGAGTGTCACAGATAACTCTTCTTCTGATTCATCCGGAAACACTAACTTCTTTGCACCACAATCAATGAGAATGTGATTGGCAGCCAATCAATCCATTCCTAAGATCACTTCTAACTCTTTTAAAGGTAAACAGATGAGGTTTACCTTATATCTACGCCCTTCTACCTCAATAGGACATCTGACGCACACTGTAGATGTCCTAACCTCACCAGCCGCTAGGGTTGACACCACCAAGTCGAACTGCATCTCACTCTCCGCTAACCCCAGTTTCTCAACGCACGCCTTCGAGATGAAGGAGTGGGTTGCCCCCGAATCATACAATACGCAACAGGGCATTCCATATAACAAGCAGGTACTGGTTATGAGTGTACCTGAACTGGCAGCTTCAGCGCCCGTTATTGCATAGACTCTTCCTACTGCTTGCGCTCGGCCTCCCCTTCCTGGCTGCATCCTTCCCACGTTTGGTGGCCTCATGACCGCTCGTCCACCCATGTTACACTCGCTGTCCAAATGTTCGTTCCTTCTACAGCGAGTGCAATATTTCTCTCCCGTCATCTGAGGACATGACGATCGGTAATGGGGTCCCCCACATTGAAAACACTTCACTAACCCTTGTTGCCCAGACTGTCTGACAGTGGTTACTGATCGAGACCCCCCAGAATTTGACGTTTGTGTTGGTCGAGTGTATGGCGTTCTTCTCAGATTCACATTGTTTCTAGACGACACTGGTCCCCTCACCACCTTTTGTTTCCTCTTTTGCCGTTCCACCTCTGCCACGTTCCTTTCTAATACTTTGGCTCTCTCAACCATCATGGGAAAAGACTTGATGCATAAACTGGAGATCAACAACTTCAATTCGCTTCTCAACCCATTCTCAAACTTCCGGCATTGTCACTCCTCGCTCGTAGCCATGGTGTTGAAACGAACCAAGTGCTTGAACTTGTTGGTATACTCAGAAACCGACATACCACCTTGTACTAACTGGAGAAACTCCACCTCCTTAGCGAAACGTACGCTATCTGGGAAGTACTCCTCATAAAACTTGGCCCTGAAGACTTCCCAGGAAATGGGACTTTGAGCGTCCGCCAAGATCATCTTCATGCTCGTCCACCAGTGACTGGCCTCTCCAATCAATAGATATTTAGTGAATGCCAATCTGTTGTCGTCCGGACACCTCTTGGCGTTGTAGATCCGCTCCATATCCCTTAGCCACTGATCTGCCTCATCTGGTAGACACTTCCCATCAAACTTGGCCGGATGATGCTGCAAAAAATTCTCTAAACTCCACTCTGCCTGGTGGGGAGCGTTGGAAGAGGACGCTCCCGATGTGTTCCTAGTAGTTGCAATGATTTCCATCAATTGCCTCTGGGTTGCTTCAGAGTTGGCGCGAGCTGCTTCCAAACTCTGTAAAGCAGCCGCGTTCTGCTGCACCAAGGCAGCGTTCTACTACTGTAGCCTTTCTATTACTGATTCCAACAACCTGGTGTTGTCAGACACATCACGTTCGGTGGTTTGAGGTTGAGGAGGAGGTCTGGGTGCCATTTGTTCTCTGAATAAAATCAGAGAAAAACGGTCGTTAGTTAAGTTCAAAGAGTTTAGAATAACTCATCAAACGGACATTAAGTACACAGCAAAAACATAGTGCACTCATAACCTACAGTGTCCTTAAAAGAACAAAACTGCTCTGATACCACTAATGTAACATCCCAAAAATACAGTAATAAACCATACATTAGAAATAATTACAATTAGTAATATATCAGTTCATTCTTATACTAATCAAGCGTATAATCTTGGCCGAACGGCCTTACATAGAGCTATAAACTTAAATTGTTCCAAATAAAAGAAAACATGACCGAACGGTCTACAAAAGTTCCATTACCGAACGGTCACATAGATCCAAAAGAAAGGAGGTGACCAAACGATCACCTCACAACTAAACTATTAAGCACTAGCCGAACGCTCCTATGGCTCGGCCTTAACTTCCACTTCTACGAGATTCTCTTCCTCCAAATTTCCTTCTTCCAGCGCCTCTTCCAGTAGCGCATCTCCTTCTGCTCACATCCACACGGATGATCATTGCAATGACAAGACGGACGTACAAGGACGAGACAACACAACAAAACACAGGGTAAGCTTATGTAATTTAATTCAGTTACAAATCATACAATTCATACATCAACACAGAAACAAAGTTAATGAAACACTTCAAGCAAAGCCTAATACTAGACCGACCGTCCGGACTGTATGACATCTGTGTAGCTACGACGTTCGTGCACCCGGGTGATGTAGTAACTGGAAT